CGATACGATTATGCCCAACCCTAGCTGGGTATCGATTCAAATTTCCCAAATCGATTTGATTCGATTCACAGGGGCCCGATTCAATTCAATTCACGATTCACGATTCAGTTTGGTTTCTTAACTAGTTAAGGATATCAAGCAGTAACACATTTACTTTGATATAGAAGACATTCTCAAAGGAACTAATTCTGCAAATAGTAGAAACTAATTCTAACTTGGTGCATTGGTAAAATTATAAACATTAAGGACAATCTTGTAAATTGGAGTTTATCTTTAGTTAATTTGAAACAAAACTGTCTCAAGTTTCAAAGGGTTTAAACTAAAAAGTTAGTGCAAGAGAAAGTGTTGTTGATACATTAGTTTTTAAAGAAATTAAGAATCATTTTTCTTGATCACTAAGAAGTGACGGAATAAGGTTACAGGAGAAGAGGTGGGATAATATAAGTGTATACTTATGCCCACTCTTTAGAGTGTATGAAAATTGTATATTTGTAATGTTTCTGTTAGCTTCTGTTCAGTAAAACTTAACAAGAAGAAAGAAAGAAAAAAAGTACTTCAGCTAAAACATTCCACCACTGAGAATTACAATATGTTTCTAAAATTTATATTAAAAAAAACATTGGTAACAAAACTAAACTATTTTGTTAGACTGACATCTTTCACACATTTATAAAGAAGAACAGTTTCAGATGTTTACATACTGCAGTTTTGGTCCGACCACTGGAACCAGCTGCTCGAAGCTTCGTTTCCCGCTACCGCGTCCGAGCACAAAACTTTGCAAACAAAAGTTGTCATGGCCTCTGTTATCTTTAAGTTCAGCTGAGAATCAGCTGTAATGTTAGCGATTCCTTTGTTTCTTTTGTTTTGCCCCAGACAACTTGTTGTTGGGAGCTAACATTAACACTGACCGTCAACTGAATGTAAACCTACGGCAAGCCAGGAGTGACAGACAACACAGAAACGCGCAGCTTCATCGCACAAAACCCCCGTGGGGAAAAAAGTCAATCTCGTGACTTATGAATCGATCTTCCCAAATTTGAATGAGAATCGATCCAGATCGATTAAATTGATTTTTTTTAACCCAGCCCTAATATATAAGGTCTTGTTAAGGGAACTTAAAGTAAACTACCAGCACTGCAGAGTTGCAACGAATAAGACAAATTTGGGGACTAAAGCTAATTTTTAGGATTGATTCATTGCCTCACAATCCCTGACATGGAACAGGTGGTCTCTTAGTTTGCAGCAGCTGCACTCTGCGTTTGTTTTTGCTTCACTTACCTTTCACGTTATATCCTTCAGGTATGAGAAAAAGGACCAACCTCTTTGATCTGCCCTCCCACCCCTCGCATTGCCAGTAATTTTTGTGTATGTGTAAGAGACTTTGTAGTTCATGGGCTTCAATGTCCCCATTGGCTTAACTGGCTGCATCTGTGAAGAGTGGATCAAAGAGACGCCTGTTGAGACTTGAAGAAGCAAGACTCAATGCTGTTGCTGCTGAACTGCATCATGCTTGTCCTCACATCGCTTCATTTGATTCCATTTTTCATTATAATGAAACTCTTATACTTCTCCACTCTATGGCAGTCTCCACTGCTGCATTAGGACTAAAGAGTTGAATTGTAATTTGTGAATTCAATTAGTTGGATTTTAAACATTTGAAGATTGTGAGTGATTTAATGTTTTAAATGGTAAGGATACTCTTCCACGTTGCGGATGTCAACGGCAACAATCTTCGGCTTGCCGCCTTTGTTTCTTTTGGAGGGTCCGGTCAGTGAGAGTTCACAGAGGTCGATTAGGTCCTCAGCTGAGATTCTGGGAGACACTTCCGCCTTCAGGTCACACAGAACGAGGGGCTCCCGAGACTACAAGAAAAAGAGGGAGGCAGGAGATGAAACAGGAAACATCTCAGAACAATGAATTACTCAGATGTGGCGTCTGAACTGAGTCAGCTTGGATTGTCTAAAAATAGACAACACTTTTATATCAACTCTTTTTAAAAATAGGACTTCTAAAACATGACTTTAAGTCTGAAATAAAAATATTCAGATTTTTATGTATCAGGACTGAAAGAGTTAAATAAATCGTCTCTGTAATATTGGCAGACGACCACCTGCAGTGGCCACAACATGATCCTGTGCTAGTTTTCTCCTGAAATACCAAATGGATTTAATAAAAGCAGCCAGCCAGAGGTGAGCTGTGGGACACGGGCTTCTGCAGTGACCACCAACGGTTCCATCGTTCATTTAACCCTATATTATATCAACTGGAAAACGTTAAAATAAAAACAAAAACAGGACTGACATATAGCGGGTGGTCATTAGTGGAATTGATTTAGCAATCTAGCACCTCTGTTAATTGATAAAAAATAATAATAAAGAAATGTAATCTTTTAAGCTCTGTCTCAGAACACAGAGTAAAAACCATTTACAAAGTGAAGAGGAATCAGTGAGGCCAATTGCATGTTCACTGGGTTAAATATCTAATTTGCAGAATGAATTTTGCTTTTGTTTTCAAACTCACTTTGTTACACACATTTCTTTCCTCCATACATTTCCTGAATGATGAATAATGTAAAAAAACATTATTTCAAAAAATATGAATTTATTTTTTTTCTTTTTTATCCAGACTAACAATTTGAACACTTTCTTCAACTAACACTGACTTCTGGAATAAATCAAACAAGTAAACTAGTCTGTAGTCACAACTTTAAGTGTAATATTATTTACAATTTAAAATAATTATACATATGTAAACAAACATGTCTACTTAGTAAAATGTTATCTGACCTGTTCGCCATGAAAAATGTAAATGTAAAGAACACATTTACATCTACATTTTACCAAACAAGCAGGCTTTTTTTAAAATATGAATAGCAGGCTGATAATTTGAACAGAGTTTAATATGCAATTTGGAAAAAGAGGCAAGTGATTTGAGCATTTTGTATTCACTATATAAAAATGGAGAAAAAACTGCACTGTGGCTTCTTGAATTAGAAATGGGTGTCTCCAATGGCACAAGATAAAATGACAACAAAAATGAAGCCTCCCTCAGACAGATTACTGAACAGGCACCATGTTCTGCCAAAGAGGAAGCTGCTGCTTTCCAAAAGCAATCATCCCAGAATACCAAAAGAGAGCGCTTTCATTAAGCAAACATTCTGCAGAGAAACTTGGGCTGTTTGGCAAAAACATGCTGCATCACAGAGCTAAAAAAGGGCTACAGTAGGTAAAAAATAAAAATGTACAAATGAGTTAAATGAAAAGGAGAATCATGAGTTAGTTTGTTTGCTGCTCTTGGACCCGGACAGACCCGAACCTGTTTCTAATTTTCCAAGTTCATTCCCAAAGGAATGGTTTCAAGCAAAGAAAATTAACCTTTAGGATCTCAGGTTTTACTGCAGATGCAGAGGAGAGGATGAATATAAAGCCAAATCTTTCAACTAAAATAACTGAGCTGAATCGGTTCAGCCAGGGGGAATGCTCCAAAATTCCTCCTGAACATTAGGCAACTTTCATCCATCACTGGAAATGCCTTTTTTTGTTGAGGAGGAGTCTGGGCCGCACTTTTAAATCAAAGGCTTCTGTTAGATCTTCCACCAGAACACTGCATGTGTCTAAGTCATGGTGTTACTGGTATTAGCTTAAACACGTTTGTCTTAAGAGTGTCACAAAAAAAAATAATAATAATGGATGTTGGATTGGATTCTTTTTCTTCTTTATTATAGTATTAAAAAAGTCACTGATGATGAAGAAATTAAGAAACTACCATTCAGTTCAGTTTTCTACTGAAGTGGCTAAAAAATACTAATAATAATGGATGAACAAGTTGTATTTTTTGCCACAGCTTAAGGTACACAGATTCATCAGTAACTTATGAAAATATGCTTTAAAAATATTGTTTTATGTTGGTGAACACTAAAACCATCATTCCTTGAATTTGTGTCCAACTCAGTTACACAAAGGAGCCAAAATTTAAAACTTGATCCAAGCCAAGGGCCATTTTCTGTCAATATTTATTGAAAAAAAAAGTTATACAGCAACTTTTTCTTATAAAAATATATATATATTTATAATGCACAATAATAACTTTGTTTAATATATACACTGCTCAAAAAATAAAGGGAACACTTAAACAACGCACGCTAAGTCCAAGTAAATCAAACGTTTGTGAAGCACATTCAACTCTGTACAGAACAAAGTACTCAATGCGAATATTTCATTGATTAAGATCGGGAGTTAGCGTGCGTTGTTTAAGTGTTCCCTTTATTTTTTTCTGTTAGAGATATGTTTGGTCACAATCCAAGTCAGGTAAAAAAGGAAAACTCTCACTAAAAACCTAAATATTTGAAAAAAAAAATGTTACTTTTTCAAAGACATTCAAATTTAAATGTTCTTGGCTTGAAAGTTGGGCAGCTGTCATGAGAAGAGTGCTCTAAATACAGTGAAAAGAGAAACCATAACACTATTTCACATTTACAATATTACCTTTGGTGCTGGAGAAAATGGTAATGAGGGACAGAGCTTGCTCATGGGCCTTGCGTTTGACACATGTTAGTACAGATTGCGCACTGTGTTTTATGTCAAAATTAAAAGAAAAATATGTTGTGATCTGTTGGAGCTCAGAGGAAGTTTAGGAGATGACTCTCAGCTACTACTACATCAAATTCTAGCTCAATATCTGCAAAAATGGCTGTGTTATAACCATTTTGTTGTTTGCCAAGGTGAATGGGCAATGGCGGCCATCTTGAATCAGATTGACTCTAAAAGATATTTAGCTACAGGTGTACACAGGATGATTCCTTTGAGAGTTTCATTAAAATTTGTTCAGTGGTTTAGGAAGTATTTTGCTAGCAGCAAACACGCATCCTCGTGAATGTCAGGCATGAGCAGTTACATTATCACCTGTTTTTCTTGGACGTTTATACAAGTAAGACAAAAGAAAGTGTGACCAAATGGATTTTTCTTTGTGTTAGAATATTCTGTTTAAAATACATTTCTAAAAAAAAAAAAAATAAATAAAAAAACACAACTCAGATTAAAGTAAGTCAATCAGTTTCTTTGTGGGATTTTTTTAAAGAAAGCTTACTAAAAACATATCTTACTGAAACTGCATCTATTTACAGAGCAACATAAAATGCTTGGTTTTTGTAATAGAAACAAAATGTGAAATCTAATTAAAAGAAGCATGGTTGCTGTATTTATAAAAGTGTAGGCATTAGATACAGAAGCTTTTTGGAACATACTGATTAAAGAGTTAAAGATCTACAGTCAAATCTTTCTTTTCCTTAAATACTGAGACACAAACCTTTACCTGTTACTGACAGTAGCAGATAAAATATGCAGCTTGGGATGGGACTGATGAAGCTCTGCATGGTTATTTAAATGTCAGAGTGAGAAGTGTGCACCAGCCAAGGACGGCTTAGAGGCACTTTGGCATTTCACTGGCCTGACAGTGACGAGTCTAAACCTCAGCTGCAGAAAAACAGGTACAAATCTCCTGCAGGAGTTTGTGTTTTCGGGCACACCTGCATTAATGCCAAAGGTTACCAAACAAAAAATTAAATAAGAGAAAAACAAAACACGCCACTCAACTTGCAGAATATTCTATGACGATGCCATGATGTTTGTCTGGTTGCCCTTCCTAACACAACCTGAGCTCAGATCTTTAGTCTCAGATTACAAGATCACAGCCCTGACCACCAAGCTACCGCAGCCCCCTGTGATGAAGATGTGTTGTTTAAAAAGTATGTGAGGTTTGAACATAATTTAAGAAACAGAAAAAAAACATATTACCTTTCCAGTTGTACAGGAAGAAGAAGAAAAAAAAAGACTAGCAACTTTGGGGTCATAATCTATGAAAAATGCTGACAACAAAAACTCCTAACCACTAACACAAAGTCAGACAGTAGTTTCCACACTGCGGAGGAGTAAAAAAAAAAGACACCTTCCTGCATGCTTTCTCGTTTAATTCTGACCACACAGCAGTTTTCAGTAACATGCACACTTTATGAAAATTAATCTCTACTTTTGCAGATAAAACAGAATTTTAATTTGGAGCTATTTGCACTTTAACAACTAAATTGCAGAATCTTTAATAGAATCATGCTGTAAAGTTGCATAAGAAACTTACATTTCAACTAAGTGTTAAGCAAGTTTATATA